GGATAAACTTATTCGCGGATGGGGTGAGGGAGAGGGACTTAATTTATGTGGTATTAAAGATAGGGATACGAGGTCGAGGGAGCTGGTGTACACGCGAGATTTGCGAGTGTAACTGGTCCTGCTGGTTCTCGCGGTGAGATACGGGGACAGATTTCCGAGCTGGGATGTACAGAGGGTGAGGAAAGATTTAGAATTCGATGCTTGGATTGTTGGGGCGAAGTAATAGGGAACTTTGGAATATTCCGATTGGAATAACGAGTGTGACCTTTGAATCTATCCTATCGAGTTATTTAAAGACAGAGCAAATCTTTGCACTTAGGTCTAAAGTCGAGGTTTCCTTCGAACAGTAATTTCAGCAAGACAAACGTTGTATCAAGGCACACGGGCAATATTAAAATTAACATATTTCTTAAACCAATATTTCTTTGTATAAATACGCTTGAGTCTCTTTTTACATAGCGGATGTGTGCCGTGCAAAGAAAATCGCGTAAAATGTAATTTTACATAAGGAACAGAATTTTACATTATTTTCGACGATATTGTCTACAACGTTTAATAATTTTCTATGGAAAACGACAGGAGTGCGTTAGCTCGTTGAGAAGCGTACAATTCTATTAAAGAAGGATCGTGTTTGAAAAAGAAGAAATAATTTCTGGTGCAAATAAAATATCGCAAAGTGTCGTATATAGTTCTGTGTAGTTTATCGGGTCTTACAGTTAATTTTCAGGACAAGCACTTTGAGCAGAGGAATTTCAGTGGCGGAATTCGCTGCCTCGCATCGTATGCGCGCGTTATTGTCGGACGCGTTTACGAGAATGGCCAACTCGCTGGAAATCGCGTGGTCTCGTGTTCTTATGGTTCCCAATACCTGGAACAGAAAGCATATGGATAAATAAATACGTGGACTTATTTTCGTTTATGCTTCCATTTGACTCGCATTTGAGGGGAAAAATACGACACGAGCAAAAAGATGCACAGGCTAAATGTTTCCAGAGCATGTTACTGGAGGTTTCAAAAAATGAATTTTAAAACGTCGCTAAATTAAATGGAAAACAGTGTTATTAATTTGGATCAATTTGCACTACGTTTAAAGTTTCGATGCTAGTAAAATTAATAAAATTATCAGACACGTCGACTACACAGCGAGTGTCAGAAATTAAAAGAAGTTAACGAAAACATTGACTTTCACGACGCATCAAAAATTAATCGAAATTGGTAGCGTCTCTTAATCTACATAATTACCAAATTACGTTTTAACTGGTCGATTCTGCTGGCCAGATACGAATATATTATTGCGTTATTAATAAGTCTCATTTGAATAAAATATCACGCTAAGTGCAATTAGCATAACGATATATTATTATATCATCTAATATTCAAATACTGAAGATTCTTTGCAGAGTGTTAATTGAAACCAATTGTTCTAAAATTAACGTTATACAAAGCAATCGCTTCCACGTTAAATTCTACCATATAGAAATCATAAAATCATAAGTATAGGAACATCTCGAATCGTATCTATCTCGCATAGATTTCCAGAAATATAAATAAAAATTTCTCCATAGGAAATTTCGTGCACGAGACAGAGATTTCGCGAGATAGAGGAATATTTTATGTAAAAAGTGTAAGAGTGGGGATATTTTTAAGTGTCTCCTGGTCTGTGCGATCCGTGGGTAGACTTGATCTGTATTGACGAAAAAATGCTCCAAGTAAAGCTCATACAACAATGCGTTTTGATTCGATAGGACAGCTCAATCGCTTTCCGAGATATAGATTTCGAAAATGTAGCGCAGAGATAGCACGAGGTACCGAATGGCAGTCGAAATTCTCGGAATTGCTGGGTTTTTCCTGCGGATGCACGTACGTCGTAACTAGCAATGGTAAAAAGAGCGCTGAGTCGACGTTTGTCAGTGTCCAGCGCACAGGTATAGCGCTTGAGGTAGGTCGACGCGTGAGTGCGAGCGAGAGGTCCGAGCGTGCGAGCGGGACAGCGATAGCGAGATATTAAAAGTTAGGCCTCGCTTTAACCCACTATATCTCGGAAACCGGATGATTTATCGGATTGAAACAAAGAGGATCTTAAAATAGAAGCTCTGCTGTTTCTAGCCACGTTGAAAAATATATTCTACAATTCCTGCTCGCGGTATCGAATCGCGTTGAATTCCAAACGATATTTACACCGTTTAATTATTTTCCTATCTTCCTATCAGAACAAAAATTCATATCAATTTCACGAAAAACAGACGTGGCCATTTTTGGTAATTATAAACGCGATAAATTTAACGCGATAATTCTGGCGGATTGAATTTGGTATCGCGATTAATTCGATTGTCGATAAATAATCCATAAGGGAATACGATCGATGTCTAATAAGCGGATATAAAGCGTTATCGATAATAAATCGAGCATCGAATCAGATTAAGAGGTAATAACAGCGTGTACAAATATGACAGAAATTGAATTAAATTTCTCACTACCGCTTATACTGTGACGTTTAATCGTCTTTCCTCAACACCGATGAAACATCCACGCGACCGGTGTTGATGGAAGAAAATATCCATTTCCGCGACGTAATGGTCACTCACCTTCTTGTCGTTCTTGTACCAGGTTAACGTGGCGAGGGGATTTCCGGAAGTGGCGGTGCACATCAATTTCAGCACCGTGCCAGCGTCGATCGTCGTCCCCTCCTCGAGGCCGGTGATGTTAAGTTTCGACGGTGGATCTGTGGAACAGGCAAGACAACATACACATATGCACGTAAGCCAATATCGAAAGATAATCCTACCACCTCGCAGAGTATTCTAATTGCCCAGCAAAACGCATTTCAAGCGAACGATACCTCACCATGTTGCCCTCTGAACAGGGGGATTATATTTCGTCCAGGGTAGCTATCTACTCTAAAGTTTGCCACGTGGTCAGGAGCTTTCGCTACTTTTCAGAATTCCTGGTTTCAGTCATTCTTCACGTTCTCTGAATTAGTTTTTGATCACGCGAAGCGGTAAATTTAAAGACTGCTTGAAGATTTGGCTTCTCTTGCTCAATGACCATAGACGTATCATAAGCTTCTTTGGAATTTATGTGACACGAATATGCTATCTGTGACTCCTAATTCTTGGCACAACGCTATTACCTGGCGCAACCTAATTACAGAGAACCATAGCACAGAGGCATGGTCTTACTTATGAACAGGTTAGTGACAGGCTACGAGTACAGGGTAAAGGCTAGTGCAATCCTGGCCTGTTAGAATACAGCCAATTGGATCAGATCCTGTTCACTCACGATTGAGACATTTTCGTAGAATATTCTACTACAAGAACAGGACTTGACCAGGGTAAGATTGACTTTCAGCGATTTTTACATTCATATTCGTACAAGAAGAAATATTACATCAAATGATTCGCTAGGATCAGCTAAGAAATTCCAAAGACTAATTCAGAGACAATTTAAACTAAGCAATTAGACGTGGAACTGTACTAGACTGCTTACATTTCAACAAGAGGAAGCCTTAAATAAATATTTTGTTTATCCGCTACTATAATCAAGCTCCACGAACTGAGGGATAAGTGCCCTAACAGCCTGGCTACGCGAATATGGATAGTCCCCGAGCTAACACGGAATTAATTTTGTCGCAACTCGGAGTTACACGGGTAGGTAACCAGACTCGTGTCCAAGTGCTAGCCTCTCGATCTGGATTCATAGATCCCTTATAAACCGACAACTGACACGCGGAAGTCTCGGCTAGCTCCGGATTGGTTTCGTATTAATCTTGCTAAGTTTCTCGCTGTGGCATGGATTACGTTTACATTGCGTTTCATTTGTCTGATTGTCTATTCCATCCCCTTCGTCCAAGTTGGACTACTCACAAATCACGGTTATGGTGTGGGTCTTGACGACGTTCTCCGTCAGCTTGACGTTGGACGCGTCGCATATCACCACGATGTTGCGGCTGGTGCGATTTATGGTGAACGTCACGTTCGACGAGGTGATCCAGCCGCCTTGAGGTGCAGGCTCGGTTCGAGAAGCGTTGCTCTCGAAATTGTGTCCGTCCACGGTCCACTTGATGTCAGCAGGAGGATTCGAGTTCTCCGTGGTGCAGGTGATCACCACTTGTTCTTCAGCCTTCGCTTCCGTGGGTCCCGTGATCGTCACTCCGGATGGCGCGACTGAAAAATGATCGTCCAACCGGTTAGGTTTTCAAGGTTTTCCTGAATTAGGAACGAGTGGGAAAGACGTAGGATTAAGAGTAATTAAAATTAAATTGTTTCGATGGAATCGATAAAATCTTAAATTTCGTTTAAGTACAAATTGCAAATTTGAGTAACCTATTTTGGGGGTTGGAGGATGAATGGAGGAGGCTTTCGTGTGATTACTTTTCTAATTTTTGACAGAGTATTGTGGCAAAAGGGAAGCTTCTTCTGCTATTTTCTGGCGGTTTAATTTATAATAACTTGTGGGAAAAAGCATGCAATTGTAAGAGGATTCGTTTTAGCGACGAAGCCTGGATGGAAGCCTGGACACACGGTGAGATAAAATTGGCAGGAGCCAATTTAATAGAATACTCAAAGTATCTGATGGTATATAGTTAAGCGAATCACCGATTTTACATTTTAGATAGGAATTGTGTACCCTAGGAATTAATTATTTCGTCCAAATAATACTCGTGTTCCCCTAGAGAAGATGTCCAGGTCTTTACCACGTTTACAATATTTCTTGAATAGGCAACAGTATATATTTACATAGCAGTATATTTGCACCAAACGATTGTTAGCATAGGAAAAAGCTCAAATCCCAAAGGAATTGGAAGATTCAGAAATAATTCCAAATACAAAACTCGTACTCTTCTTCTCCGCGAGATACGAACAAATCTCAAATTCCCTAGGAGATTATCAACATATATTTATAACTACAGAATATAAATCATTGCAGAATCATATCAGTCATAGAACTAAGCAAATATGACACGATAGGAACGATCGATATTCATTGCGAATACTTACAGAACACAGTGAGATCCACGTGCACCTTCATAGGCTCGACGCTCATGATGTTGAACACCTCGCATCTGTACCTCGCGTTGTTATCCTGCGCTTTCGCGATGATCGACAACACGTTTTCAGAGAAGCTACCCTCCGTCCTGTACATAGTCATAACTTGTTCGTTGTTTCTGTACCAGATGATCTGCGCGGGTGGGTTTCCGCCGCGAGATCGACAAGTTAGCTCCAATTGTTGTCCACGTTTCACGGTCTCTCCCTCGGTGTAGCCCTCGATATACGGCATGCCGGGCGGATCTGCGAAATGATTCGATCATGCAAGTCGGACAGGGACATCGAACACCATCGGATCTTCGTTGTTTTGGTAATGGAAAAAGTTTCTCAATAAAAGTTGCCGGCTTGCGAAGCCGGAGGAGGAATCGCGACGTGTGAAATTAACACGCGCCAGGCAGGCGTCGCGATAGGTATGGCTCCTGGCTCGGTACACAGGCGATAGGTACACGGGTATAATTGTAATTATCGCCCGGTATAATTTCGTTGTAATTTTAGTAATTAATGGACGGGTAAATGCTTCATAAATTGGCACTGGTGACGCACGCGCCTGATGATCGATACGATTTAGATGATTGGTAATTAACTAATTCACCGGGGTATTTGTTCCCGGGGTGGTTTGATCTGCATTATTGTTTGCATTTGCCTTAATTTCCTCACTCGATGTTTAGAAACTTTGGGAAAAAGATGGTAATTTCAGCAAGCTGAATGATCGTTTAGCGAATTATTTCTTGGACTGTCTTTTTTATTCAAAGAATCTTAATTTAATTAATCCTTAGGAGAGTTATTCATTCGTGTAATGTCAGTTTTGTGATATTTTACCATTTTTATTCGTTAAAGATAGAGATGAGCTATTATTGAATTATTGTGTACAATAATATAATCACGATACTGAGTGACGTTATTATTTAACATTTGTGTAAAACTTTTAATAAAATAAAATAAAACGTTTTTGTTCTTTGTATTATTGGAATATGTATAATACTTACAAAATACAGAGAGTTTGATGGTTGCTCTCAGAGGCATGTCGATAGGTATCGCAGGGTGATTAGCCTCGCAGGTGTAATCCATATCATTATCATCAGCAGTGGGGACGATGACGATGGAACCGTGGGTGTCGTATTTGAGCAATTCTTTCTTGTTCTCTCCTGGCTTCTGTACTTCTTTATCTGAAACAGGAGTCGACCCATTTCACGTACTGCTCGAAAATAAATTTAATACACTCCACTGCATCTTCCATTTTAGAAATCGATCAAAGATTACTTTCAGGCCACAGAAATTCTTAAATCAGGGTTACAGGTTTCTAGAAAGTCGGAAATTTTCCGATTCCCTTCGGAAATCGATTAAAAAGTATTTTCCAGCTATTGAACAAATTTTTGTAATTTTTAAAATTCTTCTAAAATTCTCTCTAAAGGGCGAATCGTCGACTTGGGTGGTAACTTTTTCTAGGTTTCATTTGCTGAATTTCGATATGATAGAAAATTGAAAGACAAATTGAAAAGATATTTTCCACCGACAGTATATTTTTCCACCGACAGGTGTATGCGTTTTGCGAAGAAAAAAAGGTTGTCAGATAAAAAAAAGAAAAAAAAAAACGATCCTTTTACGCGACTTACGTAATTCACCGTCTCTCAGGTCGATTTTCTTAGGTTCTCTCTTTTACCTTGCCCAAATGCGAACTCTCATCCATCTCTCACAAACACGCGGACACACGGACACGTTTCCATAAAACTAAGTAGATCCTCTTAAAGCTTACTTCGAAGATACCATAGATTAAGAAAACTCTAAATTAAATTTATTTCTATAGGATCACACACTTTAGAGTCTTCTTCTCCCCGTCCTATGGCCGCAATATAGATCACCCTGTAACAAATTTCGCGATAATACAACGGCGCTACTTAATAGAAGTTACAGCAACGGGAGAGAGTTAGTTCATTCGCTTTTCTGTGATGAAGCTCGAGGAAAAATTTTCCTGAAATTTTAAACCTCTTAAAAATTATTTTATCCCTTACTTTAACGGATTAATACGTTTTCTTCGCGAACTAAAGTTACGTGATAATAAATTTCTTATTTTATTTCTTAATATAAACTATCCTCTTCCTAGAATTATTCTTTGTTCCATTTTTATATATCAATATTGTTTTTCTTCGCAAACTAAAGTTACCCAGTAACAAATTTCATTTTGTTTCTTATTATAAAATTACACGATATTTAATTTTTGTTATATCGAATTAATCTGAATACAATATTTATTTTCGTTTTTAAAATTTATAGTCGGTTGGTAGAATTTTATAATTATCGTTTTATACGTTACAGGAAGTACCGATATGATCTTGTTTACCCACGTGAATGAATGTTTGTATAGAAATCGGTAACAAAATGGCATCTGCATGCAGATTCGCATGTTTTCTAAAAGTACCACGTATTTATTTTCCATATTTTTCATGTATTAAGGACACGCGAATGTTGGATGATCGATATACGCTCTTCATATCTATTTTGCAAAAATTCGACATTATTTACCGAACCCTCGAACAAATTTACTAACCGTGAGGTCGTAAGCAAATACAGTAGACGTTGCCAAGTAATTGTTGTTAAACGATTTGACACTCTTATTGAATAATATTGAAAATAACTGGACACGTAGATGAAAGAGTTACGAAATGAAAAACGGTTTCAAAGAGAAATTGCAGTTCAGTTTTAAAGCTGTGCAACGATCCTGTGCAATTTTAAGAGACATAGTCATCGAGAAGTCGATGGAACTTAAACGAATAATATATACTGCAGTATATTTAAATGAATTTTCATTACATCGTAGCACGTCGAGCAATTAAAAATTAATTTTAACAATTGCAAAGTCATCGCTTAATTAATTTAGAGTGATTTTATAGTGATTCCATCAACGTTTATAGTTCATTGCAATTTGAATTATAACCTGAACGATTAAATAACAGAGATCCCATCGTTATATTATAGTTTTATATCTTTTACAAATTTAGGTATAGGTATAGACACATTAGCATCAAATTTAGTTTCGGAACAGAATAGAATGCTACTTTTAATACTAAATTCTTCCAAATTTAATACCGAAATTAATATTAAATTTAGTACAAAATTTATATTAAATATTTAACATAAAAAAATTAAGTACCTCCGTAAGTCACTATACATTCACAGCTCATACCCCCATTCGGGTCCTGTAAATTTCCTTCGTACACTTTGTTTCGTACCTCAAACGCATAAATACCCAATCCTGGCTTCTACCATTCCACCATTTCCATTTCGCAACGAATTTTCCAGGGTATTATCGGACAATCGATATCCGCGAAACCAAAATGCCAGAGCGATGCTGGAACTAAACAAAATCGACGAGAATAGACGATTTTCAAAGGCAAAAGGCATCCGCTCTCAAGGTATTCGATGGCTATGACAACGCACAGCTTCACCGATATTCCCTCGTAATGCCGATCGCTTCCCAGACACTGTTTATATCATCGTGAAATAAGACCGGACAGGCTTTTACCCCGCGCAACGACACCTGTTCGTTTTCAGAAGTCGCGACTTCCGCAACGACGCCATTTGCTAGGCGCTGTTAAGCGAAAACCGATTTCGCTCATCGTGTCTCTCGTCTAATACCATTCGCGTCAGATTTCCCGATCGAGACCGAATCACGAACCGATCGTGGTTCCAACTTATTTATGTGGTGTAAATCCGCGAGAGATAAGTTTCCAATTTTCTCCACGCCTCTGTGTGTCTTTGGGCCAATTATCCCTTCACGTTCGACAGCCATTGCTATGTAAGAAATATATGTAACAATTTATGCATTAAATCGAAATAAATTGTAGTGCATGTAAGAAATAACAATGCAAGTTAGAAGATTATACCATAGTGATCGGAAATGCTCGAAGAATAGTATGTAGCGCATTAGAGATCTTAGAGTATTCGTTGCGGAATGTTGATTAATTATTTTATTAAGCTCTTGACACGACACGTCGACTATCCGATATTAATTAAATTTAATGATATCGCTTTTTCGTTAATTGATACTTGTCCACGACGACGTACAGAGATATGAAAATTACCGTCGACTATTTTCGATATTAATTAAACGATTGTCATGCTGCCTGCTTTTCATGTTAATTATACGACTGTTTCGTTGGTTAATGAATATCGTTTACAGCATAAATTATTTCTTACACGAAACTCACCGTGGTGATTGTGCCATTCTGCTTGCGAGGAATGCATCCGTGCTCTTAATACCTTTCTTGGAAATAATTGAAATAACGAAAATAATTGAAAAGCATAAATAAGCGGTTCGCAATCTTCAGTTTCTAGTATGCCATTAATCAATGTGTTCGTAATTAACGACGGAAAAATGTCGAAATATATTTTATACTTGAAATAGTATAAAACCGTGACTATCTTTAGCCGATGACAACTAAATAATCTAATTTATTCATCACGTATATATTCACATGTTCGAAGAGTAGTGAAAATACTTGATATAAATGAATAAATATAGTTACAATTTGTAAAATGTTTATAAATTATTACACTTGTCGTTAATAACACATCCACGTGGTGAGGCCTGGTAATTGGTATCTTTTTCCAAAGGAAAAATCTTTGAAAAATAATTTTCAGTTATGCAAATTCCTAATCAGCAAGCCCCATAATCCAAAGGTACCGATTTTTGTACAAATCAAAAGACGTCTTCATATTTTGACTAGCTTTTCAGCGAAATGCCACGCGATGCGGCGAGATGCGTGCGAACGACAGCGGGAACTTGCATAGGCCACAGTCAGAGGTAGACCAACTCACGGGACTTAGTTGTAAACTAGTCGTAAACCGCCGAAATTTTGTTTCGAAGTGTGAAATTCGACTGGGTGACGAGCATGCACCAGTATGCGCTGAATTCGCCTTTCGTTTCAGAGGCTGAGGAAACGGAAACGACTTCAGTCGATTCTGCGATAACCTACGAATGTAGGTGACGAATACTGGAAGATAATTTCCTTTTTTACCAAAAAGATTTAATTTTTAATTATCGAGTGTACGAGACTGGAGATTAAAAAATACTCCTATTTCGTATGCAGAAAATTAATATCACATTAATTATTATATATAAATAGACTTTAGAAATGTTAATTGCAGGTTTAATCCACGAATTTAATATTTGACAGGTTTTATTAGCAATAATAAATTGCGAATCTTTGAAATTTCTTAATTTAAGTCAAGTTTCTATGTAAGTGATAATTTTATAAAAATCTTGATTTCGTATTCGTTGATTCCGCAATAATTTTGCTCGTTTTACCACAAGATCCGAAAGAAAATTAACCCGCGGACCATTTCTTTCGATTACTCGAAGGTGCATATAACGTGCCATTTAGCATACAACTCGACGATGCTAAAATAATTTCATTAATTCTCCACAATTCCTAAAAAGAGCAAACTCGCAGGTAAAACACAACGGTAATTCCTCCGGCAGACCTAAGAACGAGTTTTATCCGGGGGCCATTTTTTTCAATCAGCCAAAGGTACACGAAACGAGCGTGCAATTTTCCATTTTCTATTCGTGTTGATTTTTCATTTTTCGAGCAACTGAAATCCCCCATTCGTGACAGGATTTTCAGCCATCTACCGATCTTTTTCTACGAAAAAGCGAAAATTATTTTTTCCGTTTCTAACGGCACGGAAATAATTCGGCCCAGTTACAACGCAATGGTTAATCTTGTAAATAAATTAGTCAGCCGTTCCTTTCGGCTGTGATACCAGCTGGATACAAAAATCTTGTTATCTCGCGATTATTTTACGAGCGAATATTTGTCGAGTCCCGGTGCCCTCCGTTTCCATTTTCGCTCCTGCATTACAGCTTCCGCTCTCTTTTTACGCGTTATACCGTGAAATATCATTTCCCGGCGTCTCTTTGTTATATTTTAACGTGATAACGAGCTCTTGATGCTCCTTCGCCGGTCGTAAAGGGAATTACAACGTATTGCGTTCTGATAAATTGAAAAATATTTGGTTTCCAGCGAATGCTTGAAGCAAAAGCTTGAGTAGCGCATAGAATGTCCTTCCGGTATCAGAAACTTCGAGACATCGATTGCAGGTAGTAGGCGTGGCATGTTTGCTTCTCTCATAATGAAAATTCCATTTCCGAATTACATCGAATCAC